AACTGAAATGTTGCCGCACTGGCAGTGCTCAATCACGGTCTATGCCAAGAATTCTGGGAGACAGCTATCGTGCCAACCGATTAGAAGAGATCCGTATTTGTGTCCATTCCAAAGAAGGTGACTCAGTGGAATGTGGAAATCACCAAACAATATAATTAATATCACATGCAAGTAAAATTTTGCTAAATACAATTGAAAAACAGTGGTAGCAGTACATCACCAGGGAGCTGCCAGAAATTCAAGCCAGATTCAGAAGAGGATGTGAAACTAAGGACAGACGAGTCATAGCTAAAAACAGAAAATACCAAAAAATGTTTATTTGCACTTCATTGGCTATGCAAAGGCATTCGACTGTGGATTCATAACAAACTAAGAATGACATTGCAAAGAGTGGGAATTCCAGAAAACTTAAATTTTGCTCATTAGGAACCAAGAGACAATTGTTCAAAGAGAACAAGAAGATAATGGATAGTTTAAAATCAGAAAAGGTGTTATATTCGTTCACCAGAGTTATTCAACCTGTATGCTAAGCATAATCTGAGAAGCTGTTTTATATAATAAGAATATGGCATCAGGACTGGAGGGAGACTCACTAGCAACCTAAGATATGCATATGATACAACTTTGCTGGAAGTGAAGAGGACTTCAAGTACTTAATGATGATCAAAGACCACAGCCTTCCTTAAGGATTATACCTCAGTGTAAAGGAAACAAAAATCCTCACCACTGGATCGATAAATAACATTAGGATAAATGGTGAAAAGATTGAAGTGGTCAAAGACTTCATTTTGCTTGGATCTACAATCAACACTCCTGGAAGCAGCAGTCAAGAAATTAAATGACAATTGCATTAGGCAAATCTGCTGCAAAAGACCTCTTTAAAGTGTTTAAGAGCAAAGATGTCACTTTGAGAACTGAGGTGTGCCTGACCCAAGCAACACTATTCTTAATCACATCATACGCTGAATAAATTAGAAAAATAAATAAGAATCAATACATTTGAAATGAATGGTGTTTGTGAAGAATACTGAAAGTACCAAGGACTGTCAGAAGAACCAGTAAATCTGTCTTAGAAATACAGCCAGAATGTTCCTTAGAAGAGAGACTGGCAAGACCAGTCCCTGGAGAAGGATGTCGTTCTTGGTTGGTAAAGTGGAGGGTCATCAGAAAAGAAGATGACCCGCCCCGCCCCCCAAAAAAATGGTTCAACACAGTGGCAGCAACAATGGGCTCAAACAACTATGAAGACGGCACAAAACTGGGCAGTGTTTCATTCTGTTTTTTTCACTGTGAGTCAGCACCAACATTAAATAATAAGCTTATGTAATTTAACTTTTAATAATGGTCATATTTAATAACCAGCTCACAATTTTTCCTATACCCAGATGATTCTAAGCTGCTCGGAGCTGTCTCCAGCACACCCTGCTCCCACGTCTCTCTTCAGCTGTGCCCTTTTCTCTAGACTCAGACTCTCCTGGCTGCCTATTCAACTCCATTTGAATAGCCAATTGACATCTCAATTTAAACATGTCCACCAGAGCCCCAATCTCTGTCCCCACTCTTCATCTTCCCCATACACCCATTTGCTCAAGCCCTGCTGTCTGCTTCATTGTTGGCTCTTGATTTCTCACAAGCCATATCTTGCAGCTCTACCTTTAAAACATCTGCGGAATCTGTCCACTTCTCAACACCTACACTGTTACCATCCTGGTTCAAGCTACATCATCTCTCACCTGAACTCTACAGCAGGCTCCTCTCTGCTTCTCCCCTGCCTCCACCTCCATACAGCAAGTAGTGAGCCTGATACAACGTCTCCACTGGCTCTCAGCTCAAAGCAAAATCCTACCACAGCCTCCACAATCTCTGCTCCCTCCTCTCCCCAACACCCCCTCACACAAACACACCCTTGTTGCTTACCTTCCCTTGACTCTGCTCCAGGCATAATGGCTTTCATTGCTTTTCTTGAAACACAAAGCTGTGTTCACACCTAAGGATTTTTGCTTTTGCTAGTCCTTTGGCCCGGGCTGTGAACTGCATGGTCAGTAGTTTGAAACTACCAGCTATTCCACGGGAGAAAGATGTGGGTTTCTGTTCCTGTAAAGATTTACAGCCTCGGAAACCCTGGACAGGGTTGCTATGAGTCAGAACCGACTCCACAGCACACAGCCACCACCACCACCAGTCCTTTGGCCCACAAAAAGTGTTTCTCCAGATACCCACTGCTTCGTTTTCTTCAGGATTCTGGTTCACATTGCAGCTCCTCAGAGAGGCCTTCTCTAATTGCTTAATCTACAACAGCAGCCCTGACACTCTATTCCCTTCCCTTGCTTTTTTCTTCCTAGCTGTTAGCATTCATGGTCTGTGTCCTTGTCCCCTGCTGGACAGGAGGGCAGGACTGTGTCCATTCGCTTACCATTTCGTGCCCTAAAACAATGTCTGGCTTATAGTAGTACTAAATAAATTTGAATGAATGAATGAATGAACAGTAGCCAAGAAAAAGAATGCCTACAACCCTCCCCTTGCTCCCTGCTCCATCAGGATGAGGGTACACTTCTTGGAAAGGTTGGCCATGTGCTGGAGGACCTGGCTCCACGAATCCTTCTAGATCCTCCATGAACAACTTGGCCCTTTCACTTCCTCCAGTGACACTGAATTTTTTGGTTCCTCAAAAGAACCACTTACTCTCACCTCTGGTCTTCTTGGGACTGAAACTCCCTCCCCACCTTGCCTGGCCTGTTCTTTGAGCATCCTTCAGGTTTCAGCTTGGCTTTTTTTCCTCTGACAGGCCTTTCTCGACAGTCTCAACTAGGTCAGAGGCCAAAGGTCTTCAGCTCCAGTGGTCCAAGGTCTCCCCCTATCACAGTTCATGTCATACTGTGACAGCCTTCCCGAAGAGAAATGGCACCACCCAACCCTTCAGCTTATCATGCCCCTTACAGAGGGCCTATTACAGCCCAGGGAAAGCCAGAAACCCACAACCAGCCAGTGCCCAGGGTGTCAGCTGTCACAGTTGCTGGTATAGTTCTTGCCACCTGGCCAGGTCACATCACCCAGTTCTGGTGACTTCAGCTCCCACGCCTCTTATTACCATTTCCTACTTAACTTCCAGCCCAGGTCACCCCCCTTGGTCTCAGCCCTGTGGATGGCACCCAAAGGAAAGGCAAAGATTTGCAGACAGCAATTGGTGATGAATTCTGTGGTGAATCTAGAACCTACACCCAAGCGGCCTGAGCCCAAAGCCCAGGCCATACTGCTGCCTGTCTCCTTGGAGGATCTGTTTCAGGCCCCAGGACAGACCCAGAGGACACAGACTGCATGCGGGAAGTTGGCCTGGGGTCTGAGCACAGCTTCACATTCCCTGTGAAGGGGGAAGAGAGCAGGAGCAGACCCTCCCAGCCTGTGGGCTCACCAACCCAGCACTAGCCCAGCCTCCAGACGTTCTTTTCTTGGCCCGAGATCTGCCTTCTGCTCCCACCATTTAGTGTAGCATACATGGGGGCCCCTCCTTACACCCCACATCAAACCCTGGTAGTCACAGAGACTTCAAGGTCTTCTGGATCCCAGCCCTAGCTTCCACCTGTGGCACCCCATATGCCTGCCAGCCCTCACACAGGCTCAGTACTCACCTCTGCCAGGCCCAGCCCAGATTTGACCCCACCCAAACCCTCCCCTCTCTACCTCCTGTGCCCTCATCCTTCCCTGCCTTACCTTCCTTCCCCCTTTCTCAAATCCACCTACAGAGTCAGTTGACACCATCTCTGAGGTGTCTCTTGACCTTGGCCGGAGCCAGATCTTGTTCTGCCATGGCCACTGCTGTTCTGACCTCTGCCCTGAAAGTCTCCAGTTCCTTTTCAGCTACACACAAGGTCTTCCTCAGCAGGGCCAACCCCCAGCTTTGCTACCCCAAGTAGATCCTTTGGTCTTTGAGCCATGATTTTCCTCATCTTTACATTATCTCCTTTCAAAGGTTACTGAGGTGGTTACAAATAGAGGCAGCGGTTCCCAGGTCTCATCCCCACTGGGCCTATGCCCCAACCTGAGGCTTTTGACCCTGGGGAAGGGTCAACCTGGGCTTCCTGCTGCCCTCAGGCCACAGGTCTGCTCCCAAGCCTCCTGGGTGCTAAGCATGAGGTGGGCAAGAGAGGGTCTGAGCTGGACAAAGGAAGCCGCTGCTTATCCATGTTGCTCTGGACTTCAGCTCAGGTAGAAGAGACCTGCCCAGCACTGGCCTTCCTAGCTTCTCCTCCTGGAAGCCAGGAGGAACTGTGTGAGCCAGCAGGAGCTAGCCTCTCCGGTGCATTGGAAAGGCTGAAAAACAAACACTAGAATCCAAATCAGGAAAAGCCCTGAGCTGGGGTTGCCGTGGCAACCTGCAGCAGGCTCCCAGCCTGGCACCCTGTCTCTCTCAGGTGGGGTCAGGCCTTGCCAGGCTCAGTTGTCCCTACCTGAGAGCTCCAGCACAGACAGAAACCAGGAGCAAAAGCACAGGTCCACTCCACACCTACCCAGAGGCACCTCTGCCCTGTCAGGCAGGTTGGGCAAACCTGTGCTAGCTAGCCTAAGTTCCCACTGCCGGCTTTAGCAAGACCCTCCTCTCCAGAAGTGCGACTCCTGTGACCTCACCCCCAGCCCATCAGCGGCCTGGACTGCCATGTCCTCAGGCTTCTGCCACTGTCACTGGCCTGGACTCAGGGAAGAGCCTCCAGGGGAAGGGGTAAGCACCATGGATCAGGCGCATTCTATGTCACTCACCTGGACAGACAATGAACAGGCTCAGAAATGAAGTGACTTCCCACAGACCCCCAGCTACTGGGTGTGAAGAGATGGGTCCCTGCCACCTCCTGAGCCCAGACCCCTCCCCAGGGCCTGTTACCGGGGCTGCCCTAGGCTGAACATCAGCTTGTCACTGGTGGCTCACCTAAATACTTCTGGGGTGGAGGTAGCCTTCCCCGGCCAAGATGCAGACACACAGTAGGCAAACACACGGTAACCCCCATGCCTCCATTTAATTGTTAAGCCAGCACTGTCCAGATGATCCTCAGAGGGAAGTGCCCCCTCCTACCTGGGGTCCCGCAGAGTCCCACCCAGCTGCTGCTCTACAGCCTTCCTAGCAGCACCCAGTCCAGTCCTGGTGTGATGGGGACACCTCATCTCAGCTCCTGCAGCAAGCTGTTGATGGAAGCCAGCAGCTCCTGGAAGTAGCCCTCATCCTCGCCATCCTGGAGCTCCAGGGCAGCCAGCGCCTGGTACTCTGCCTGCAGGCTGGCCAGCGTCCTGCCGAGCTGGGCGTCCTGGCGGTAGTGGTCCCGGCAGGTGGCCAGCAGGGCGCCCAGGGTCTGCAGCACCTTCTCACGGGCATCATGCTCCGGCAGTTCCAGGAGGTTGGCGGTGATTGCACACCAGCCCTGTTCCCGCAGGCCTGGCAGGAGGTGCACCTGGCGGTACTGCTGCAGCTTCTCTGGGGAGGTCTCCCGGGTCAGTTCAGCCTCCTCGGCAAACATCTGCTGTCCCCACAGCCAGGCGCCAGGGTGGGGCGGGGTTGGGGAGAGAACACAGCAGTCAGCTCACACAAAGTCAGCCTACCCTTCAGATGCCAGCCTTGAGGCCCCATCTGCTTTCTCCATCTCCTTAGGCCTCAGAGGGAGAGGGGCAACTGAGTTCTTGCATACCACATGCTTGGCCATGAATGGGTAGACACGTCCATTTGTCTACCCATTCACCATCCACTTGTCAAACACAACTGCGTATTGTGCCTGGTACTTGAGAAACCAAGACCAAGATAAAGACAGTTTGTCAAGGAACTTGCGGTCTAGCAGGAGAAAAGAAGCGATGGAGTGACTCATGAACTGCACAGTGCAGTAGGGAGCACAGTGTGGGCTCTGGTTCCTGCTCCACCACTGACTAGTGCTGTGATCTCGGACTGGTCACTTAACTGCAATCTCATCATCTTTTAAACTCACATACTGTAACCCCTTTAGGACTTCTGGAGGGACTGAATGACATCAGGAACATGCAGCCAGTGCCTGGCAGATGGTGCCACCTCAACCAATGTTAGCTACAATGACAAGTATCATCACACCATACACTCCTCCTCATCATCACTGTCACCATCATCATCGCTCCTACTACAAATCCACTTCCTCAGAGGAAGAAATGTTAGAATTTCCTCAAGATTCAGGAAAGTGGAAGGAGGGTGTTATTGGGGAGTTGTTCAAATGGACAAGGGTGGAGGGTCATCTACACACAAGAACCACACAATAGGCCTGGGCCTGTCTCAGGTTGTTATGGAGGATGGAGTGTGGGGGTCTGGGGAGAAGGACTAGGTAGAAGTCTCACTTACTCTGTCTTATAGGGGCCATGAGTACAATATGGCAGGAAACCTGACCAGCAGTCAGCTTGTTCCATTGGCAGTGGGCAGCTGGGTGGCAGTTACTGGGGGAGGGGATACCCACAGGAAGAAGGGACCACCTGAAGAAGCCCCTGCCGCACAAAGTCTGGGCTAGCACATTGAGCACTGACCTCAGACCCCTTGTGACTTGGCATTTCTGATTGTTGTTAAGTGCTGTGGAATCGGGTTCCAACTCATAGCGATCCTGTATAAGGTTTCAGAGAAGTCGCTGGTGGGTTTGAACCACCGACCTTGTGATTCAGACTAACCTTGCAGTTTTTCCTGCAGCACCATGACAGGCCTTTCTGATTATAAAGGCTATATTCCCTCCAGGGACTCCAAGATGCAGTCAGATCTAGCCCTTGCCCACACATGGCCTGGCATATCTATGTCTCCTTGCTCTGTGCCCTAGTCCTGGTACCTCTGAATCTCCCCAGTCTGCAGACACAGTTCCCACTTTTAGGTAATATGACCCACCCCTCAGATCTCAGCACCCACAGTCAGCCTTCCCTCATCCCCACAAGGCGTCAGGTCTCTTTCATAGGCCTGACTCTGGGAGGCCACCAACAAGTGTGCCTGGAAGTGCTTGGAGGGCAGGGGCCACACACTATCACAGGATTACTGCTGTGGGTGCTGTGGAGTTGGTTCCGACTCATGGTGACCGAGGCTGTAAATCTTTATAGGAGTAAAAGCCTCATCTTTCTCCCACAGAGCAGCTGGTAGGTTTGGACTGCTGAACCTTGCTGTTAGTAGTTCAACTTCTAGCCCACTATGCCACTGTGACTCCCTGCCTGTCCCAGTAATGCTGTGGAAGGAGCAGGGTTACTCATAGGCCCTCCAGCTTCGTGGAAGAGCAAAAGGACCCAGAGCTTGTGATCCATGGGGGCATCCCACCTATGCAGGCATCCCCAGACTTCCGGGGCATGCTCCCACAATAGACAGAAATCCCAGGACCCTGGCAGACCACAGAAGGGTGGTCTGGGGACCCTGCAATCTTAGAGGTGGGTCCACACTCTCCACCATATTCTGCACATCAGCAACCGTCTGTTCATACACACCTTTCCCTTGAGGCACAGTGGGTATCCTGACCCACTGCCACCTTCAAGCAGCTCTGGGCCCACCCCAGCTTAGCTAGTTCTTCACTTTTCCTTAGAAATCACAGGGACAGAGAAGCCCTGACTGCCTGGACCATGTGTACAGCCTGACATCTGTCCTAAATCCACTGTCTTCCTCCCTGAAGGGCACTCTGTAGGCCTCCCCAGTATGACAGCAGCCTACAGCTCTCCAGGCAGGCTCCCTCCAGATCACCAGGGCATGAGTTTGGGGTGGTCAGCGGGAGTGCTAAGCAAGGGGTCAGTGTCATTCACGATGGCACAAATCTGACACTAGATAGAGGAGGAAGATCAGTCTCTCCTGAGAATGCCAGACCAACCACAACCCCCTCCCCAGGCTCCTTGCTCCTCCCAGAATGCCGACTGTGCCCGGGCTTCATTAATTTGATCTGAGCACCACATGGCAGCCTGCTGTTCTGAGAACTGGGTTTCTGCAGCTTGGACCAAGAGAGAGACAGAAACAGACTGAGAGACAAGACAGGCTGAGAGAGACAGACAGAAGGGCAGCGAGCGAATGACAGATAGACCTCTGCTCTGGGAGGGAAGTCTGGGGGAGGGGTGTGCTCAGCAGAGAGGGGTGGGAGCAGCCTCAGCCTCCCTCCACCCACCAGCCGTCTGCGGCTCTGTGGAGCGTGTGGCCCCAGAGAGGCACTGAGAGCTCCCTGCCACTGCTTCTGCAGCAGCTGAATTCAGGATCCAGGCCTGGCTAGTTTTACTCTTTCCTCCTTAATTAGGACGCTTCTCAAGACTGCAAAGCCTGAAGTGGGCTTGGTACCGAGTCTCCTGCCGGCCTTCAGACAACTGAGATCCCTGGGGTTCTTGAGGGCTGCCATTCGGAGCCCCTGCCTGGAGCCAGAGCTCTCAAAGAAGGCTCCTCCAGATTTCTAGAATCTTAAGAGTCTGCACCATTCCAGCCTTGTCTCTGTGGCCTAAAGCCCTTAAGTGGCTCCAGGCTCAGCTGCGCCATCCTACCTGCTCTCACCAACTTCACTGCTTCAGCCAAACGACCTTCCATTTCCATGAGGGGCTTGATCCTGGCTATTTCTGGCCTTCAGTCATGAGGATTCTTAGGTCTGAACATTTGGTTCTGACCACTGTCAGTACCAGCTCAGTGACCTGGCTGGTCCCCCTCCTGACCTGTCCACAAGTTCCAGTTAGCAGACCCTTCCCACAGAACATCCTTCCTGATGTCTCAGATCCCCTGGGGGTTACCATCTCAGTTTGCAGGCCCCAGCCTGCCGCATTTGCTCAGAAACACTCAGCTAGCTACAAGGGTGGCCAGACAGACGGCCAGACACAGACACAAAGCAAAGTGGTGGGGAGGAGAGGCTGCCCTGGAGACTCACCTTCTCCGTGAGCAGGTCATAGAGCAGAGTGACCACGCGCACAGCCAGCACTTCCGTGCCCTTCTCCTGCACAAGGCTCCTCAGGACCTGCAGACCCCCCAGCTTCAGAAACTGCTGTTGGGCATAGGGGAAGTGCCGCAGCAAGGAACACAGTGCAAAAAGGACCTGGGCGAGAGATTGAGGGCCAAGTGAGGGACCACATGGAACTGGACCTGCCCCAAGGCCTAGAAGAGGTAGCTGGAGGTGCCCTGACCACCCCAGCACATATTCCATTTTCCCTAGTCCCACCCAACATCTTCAGAGCTCAGAACCCAGGGGGCTGTGAGAGCCAGGAAGGACTTCTGACACCTTCAACATCACCCAGTGGACAAATGGTGGTAAACAGAAGCCCAGGACAGGAAGCCAAGGTGTGGGACCCCAGGCTGTACTGCTACAGCTGACCCCTGGGCCCAGACACTTCAATCGATGACACTGCCTTAGCTGAGTCTGAGCTCCGTGCCATACCACCTAACACATTCAGGTTCCCAAGAGTGACATGCATGCTATAGAAAGGGTCCTCTTCCTTTTAGGCTCCACAGGTTTACTGGGGGCTGGGAGCAAGCAGGGGCAGAAACACACCTTCTTCTTGGTGGCGAGAGGCTGTTCAGTAGCCAAGATGACCAGCAGCTTCTGCAGGGCTCCTCCCTCAATGGCCTCCACTTGGACCTTCGGGTTGCTGGAGGAGGAAGCACAGGAAAACATGATCCTGCACCGCTCACCAACTTGGGCACCACTCACTGCCCAGCCCAGGGGTCAGGTGGCTAAGTAGCTGACATCACACCAGTTATCCTGGGGAGACATACAGACACGAGGATGGTAGGGCCCCATCCTAACGAGCTAGAACATGTCATGTTTTATCAAGTTGGTTCTGACTCATAGCAACCCTGTATAGGGATTTCAAGGAGCAGCTGGTAAGTTTGAACCACCTACCTTGTGGTTCAAATTGACCTTGAGGTTGGGTGCTTATCCTCTGGCGCCACCTCAGGACTCCAGCTGAAACTTGGCTGGGGAAATCTAGAGTAAATTGTGTGGACCCCTGGATACAACAGCCCATGGCACAGAAGACAGGGCCAAGGGCCCTCAGCAGCCAAGGGGCTGGGGCTGGCCTGGGAAGGAGTTTTCTGAGGGTCCCTCCTGTGGGAACCCTTCCCTGATGTACCAAAGCCAGTGTCAGATGCCCCCTCTTCCAGGATCCCAGACATCTCACAGGGAGCTGTTACTAATGGGTCTGCCCCTCTCTGGGCTAGGAACTCCTCGAGGACAGGGGCAGGGGTGGGATCTTGTCCTTGCCTCTCTTGGGAAAACCAGGGGGTCTGGCACACAGGAATGCAGAAAGAAAGAGCAAGGTGCATGGAGCCTCTGAACAGGTCCTAAAACAGACCAACCCACCTGTTTCCCCTCCAGGCTACCCACTCTCTGAGACTATCCACTACTTTGCTTTTCTCTGTCCCCATATTCTCAGCACTTGGCACAGGGCCTGCTGCATACATGGCAGGGCTTCAGACAACAGGAAATGAACCAACAATGTGAAAGCCACTGCTGCCTCTGGAATGCCTTCCTTTCTGTGATAAAGAAACAGTGATGACAGAAAAACAAACAGTGCAGGCCCAGCCCTCCTGATGAAAGGATGGGGCCTGGAGGGAGGCTCCATCACAGTAGGCTGCCAGGCAGGAAACATGGCTCAGAACCCAATCAGTATATACCTTTCTGCTGGCTCCTTGCTTCCTAAGAGCAAAGTGGTGGTGTGGTGGCTGTGTGCCGTGGAGTCGGTTCCGACTCATAGCGACCCTGTACAGGGTTTCCGAGGCTGTAAATCTTTACGGGAGCAGAAAGCCTCATCTTTCCTTTCTCCGGTGGAACAGCTGGTAGTTTCGAACTGCTGACTTTGTGGTTCGCGGCCCGATTCCTAACCAGTGCTCAATTAAGAAACAAGTGCCTTAGGCCCCCCATCCAAAAAAAAAAAAAAAAAAAAAAGCTAAAGAGGATAGAGAGAAACACTGTTAACTGATGATATATGGAGGGATAATAATCAATGTAATGAAACAAGCTATATGAATGGTTGAATGTGAAGCTGATGATGTGCCCTGTAAACTTTCACTCAATCCAAAATAAAAACATTTAATTAAAAAAAAAAGTAACAAGTGCCTTAGGGAACACCAAGGTCAACTGGCATAGTTTAGGCCACAAAGACAATGAAGACAATGTCCTACTTTGGTAAGTAATGACTGGGGTTTAAAAGCTCCCAAGCAGCAATTTTGGTCTCTCCCTGTCTGAAGGAAAGAAGATTGAAAAAAAAAATTGAAGACACATAGCAACAATCAGTCCACAACCCTGAGACCAGAAGAATTAGATGATGCTCAGCTACCATTATCAACTGTTCTGAAACGGATATTTAGAAGGTCCGAGCTGGAGTCCTAAGGAGTTCTGGTAACATAGTGGTTATGAATCAGGCTGCCAACCTCAAGGTCAGCAGTTCGAAACTACCAGCGATTCCGTGGGAGAAAGATGAGGCATTCTGCTCCCGTAAAGATTTACAGCCTCGGAAACCCTGTACAGGGTCACTATGAGTCGGAACAGACTCCACGACACACAACAACAACAAGCTGGAGTCCTGGTGTGGTGCTGTGGGCTAATGCATCAGACTGCAAAGTCGTTTGAACTGCAAGGTCGGCAGTTCAAGCTCACCAGCTGCTCCTTGGAAAGCCTATACAGGGTTGCTATGGGTCAGAATCGACTTGACAGCACTTAACAACAACAAGAAGCTAGAGTGGGAGGAAAATGTAGAACAAAATTCAAAATCATAAAAAAGACCAGGCTTACTGGTTGGATAGAGACTGAAGGAACACTTGAGACTTAGTCACCCTTCAGGCCTGGAAATGAACTCACCCTCATGACTCAATTTTCAGTCAAATAGACAGGTCTATAAAAGGAATGGTAAAACTAGGGAGGTACACACACTTTAAAATAATCAACCATTTGAGATCAAAAGGGCAGCATTTACCCAAGGACAAAGTTCAGAAGAGTTAGGAAGGGACGAAGACTGGAAACAGGAACATAGGGAGGAAGTGGATGAGCGGGGATTGCAATCAATGAGATAAAACAAAATGTGTATGATTTGTTGAATGGAAAGCTGATTGGCTCTGTAAACCTTTACTTCCCTTCCTTCCACCTAAAAAACAAACCAACAAAAAGCCAGTTTGGGCTCAGCTAGTAACCATAAGGTAGTGATCTGAACCCACCCAGTGAAGGTGGGTGGTGGGGAGAGGAGAAGGAAGGGCAAAAAAAAAGGTGAATTCAAATTCATGTTCTCTCCAACTTCTGCTCTATTCCTCTGCAACCCAAATAGAAAAGCTCCTTAAAAGTGTTGTCTTCATTAATTACCTCCACTTTTTCATTTCCTTTTCTCTCATCTGCAACCTTTGATGTGGTTGACCACTGCCTCCTCCTTGAACCACATTCTTCCTGACATCACTCTTGCTGCACTGACCATTCTTTCTCAGTTCCTTTTCCTGGACCATCTTCTTCCCAACCTGTACATGTAGAAGTGTCCTAGGGCTTCGTCTATGGCTCCCTTTTCTCCTCTTCCTACACATTGTCCCTGGCAGTGTTGTGCTAACCTCAAGGTCAGCAGGTGGAAACTTACCCGCCATTCCACTGAAAAGATGAGGCTTTCTGCTCAAGGTAAAGATTTACAGCCTTGGAAACCCTGTACAGGGTCGGAACCGCCTCCACAGCACACCATCACCAATCTTACCCAGTCCTATGGCTTTAAATACTATCTATATCTACATACTGCTAATGCCCAGATCTTATCTCCAGCCCTGTCCCCTATCCTGATCTCTACCTCAAGCTCCAGACTCCCTGAGTAATCAGCATCTCATTAGATGAATGTTAGAATTTCAACTTTGCTGTTAGTTGCCATCCAGTTCTCCAACTCCTGGAGGCTTTCTGCCGACACACCTGTAGCGGAGCACGGTGTCCCGCTCCTGTGGGATTTGCACAGTCGTTGGTAAGTCCATGTCCGCAGCTGTGGCTATTGCACCACTTCCAACTTGGAATCAAAGTAGAACTACAGAGTCTTCCTACCTCTCAAATCTTTCTCTCCCCAATAAATAGCACCTGCACTCACAGGGAAGAGGGGGAGAGAAACAAGTGCCAAGAACAGGGATCCCATATGCTCAGACCCTCTGGGAAATCAGGGATGGTCAAAGCTATAAGCAGCCCACCAAATCAGTCTTGGGGTGAGGGTGGGAAGGCAGGCACATAAAACATCAAATGCCAGCACCACAGGGGAGGGGCCAGGGCAGAGAGGGAGGGACACTAAAGTCAAACAGTGGTTGTCCACCTATCCAAACAACCCATGAAGGACAATAAAGTCCATCTGTCTCTGGCTGCCTTACCTTAGAGCAAGGCAATGAGCTCCTGGAGTCCCAAAAAATACCCGTTCCTTCTAACCCCCAGCCTGGACAGCATCCTGGAGGATGCTCCCCCACTCCTCCAGAAGGGAGGAGCTGGGGAGCGAAGGCACGAGAGGGAGAAGGCTCCTGGTCAGAAACCCAGAAAACGGGAGGCAGATAATGAGAGAGTGTTCGGTGCTGCTGCGGGCAGCAGTAGAGCTGACAGAATGGAATGGTGATGGCTCCAAGTCAGTCTATCCCAACCAAGTTGCAAGGCAGACCAGTACTTGGACCCATAGTTTTCTGCTGTGAAATGGGAGGCTCCTTTGGACCTCTGCACCCAGAAAAGAAGTGCAGGGGTGTACAGTGGAGACTGCCTAGGCCCCGGGAAAGAGAAGCTGACAGCTCTCTCGACAGGCAGGTGGGTGCGATGTGGGGGGTTGGGAGCTGAGCCTTCCTCTGCCCCCTGCACTAGCGACTTGAGGAAAGCAGCTGCTTCATCAAAGCGTGAGCTAATTAGGGCTGTCTCTGCCATCATGTGCCAGAGGAACGCTCATCCGAGACAAGCAGGGTCTAGGAAAAGACGACGACCACGCTGAGAAATTCACACAGACGTCAAATGCTGCCTCTCAAAAAGGGGAGCAGGGAGGCATGGTGTCATATCTGCCTCAGGAACAACATCAAGGAGTCCTGTTATTCACGGCCCTCAGAGAGAGGACATGAAGTTCCATCCTTGCTTTCAGATGGTCAGCAGTCCAGTGCTGATCCCATAGCACACCAGGACTCCAGAAGGAGGTCCAGAGAAGAGAAGAGAAAATCACCTAGCCAACCCCAGCCCAGGAATGGCGGGAGTGTCCAAGGAACAACTGGCTCAGCTGAGCATGCTGGACACCCCCAGGGCAGCAGCCTGTCACCACCACAGGTAGTGCTGGGGCAGCGGGAGCAGAATCAGCATGCAGAGGCCTGGACGCTGTCCACTGAGAAGAGGAGAGAAGATACTAAACAATAAGGGAATCAAGCACAAACAAGGACAAAAGTCAGGGGCAAAAGAGGAGGGTCCATGCCGCGCAGGCAAATCCCTTCCAGTTCCAGAGAAAGAATAAACTAATTAGGAATCAAGAAAAGATGCCAAAGGCCTTTTAAAGACCTGAGCGAGATGACTCCCTGACACTGCTTGTCCATGGAGACAGCATTTTGCTCTAGGAAAGAGACAGAGGCAAGCTGCCACCAAGCAGCTGTTCAGAGAAACCCCACAAGACAGGATAGCTCCTTGGGGAAA